AACTATATAGGGTGGCCGAGGGGTGTAGATACCTATATCACTATATGGTTGTACGATATTGAATAAAATATGCATCCGAGGGACATGTAAATGGCGTAAGTACATAACATAATATGCGGCGGGTGTAAATGTTTAAGTGTCGAATCGTGTCGGATGCGAAACGGCGGCTGATTATTGTTATTTTATCGGAGCAAATACGAAAGACAGGCTGTTATAGTGTTATGGATGACTGTAGTTGTATTTGTATAATATTATACATTATTGATTGTAAATAGTATACCTATCTTCTCACGTGTTACAAACGATTATGATTATTATTTTTTTTTTGTGGGTTTACACAACACAATGAACGATTGTAATCCTTTCCGAAAACGGTCATCGAAAAATCGAGTTTTCGCGTTCACTACTGTGTACAAATAATATGTATGTATATAATATATAAAGCGCATAAATAATACTGACAGACTAATTGCCGTGTAATGGTGTAGTTGTAACACAAATGTATAAAGCCTGCAAAAGTGCGATTTGTCAACTGTCATTGTTGTGTACCGACCGGCCTGGATGGAAAAAAATAAAAAGCAGAGGTACCTAAATTATAAATGTGTGCACTAAAAAATGTATTCTTTTGTTAATGTCCGCTACCTGCGATTTAAAAAAAACGAATTTTATATTTCTTTTTTCAAACACAATATGCATCATTTATTATGTCGTATAGGATAATAATAATATAATATACGCGCGATAAACTGTTAATATTTTGGATATAGTTTAATATTATTGGATGTATATAATATCACTAAAATATTATTATAAAATCAATGATTATAATTAATATAATAACGATTTGACCACTGCTGTAGAGAATCGCTTGTTCGTAACAATATTATTATATTATATTATAATATGTAACCGTCATTAGTGCGAGTACATAAGTATATTATGATAATAATAATATTAAGAATTAAGATGTTATTATAATGTATACATCGCGATGTTTTTACACGGCATAAATATATAAGGTATAGGTAGGTAATAATAATTGATCCTCTCTTCGATACAAAACGGTTTTCAGCTTAATTTACTGAGACTAAATGAAAATGGTGTAGCTACTTTTTTATTTTTTTATATCCAACGATAAAACGGTTTTATTCCCAAAAATGTACTGCAGTAAAATCGACTTTACTTTTACCGTTCATTATATTATTATTATAGAAATAAAATCGCGCGTTTTAATCGTTTATCAAATTAACGTCGCAGATCTATAATCTCGGATTACTTCGGACTAGTAGAACTATAAAATAAATGGTTACTAATAAGTAATGACTATATTATACGGAATATCGCTGTAATATGTTTATTATTTTTAACTGAAAATAACATTTAATTACATATTATTTGATTTAATCCTGAAAATTACATCATTTACACTATAACAGCTTAGAACTAATATTTATAATAACTTTATCCCGCCTTCTGCGTCAGCTCACGTTTAACACAAACCAACAATTCTAATAAAATTATTTTTTCAAAATAGAGATTATAATTTTAGAAGTATTGCGGAAATTAATAAAACTCTTATATTATAATATACCATACCAAATTTATATTTCCCCGAGTTCTCGGGTGCCGCCCCGTGTGCTAAGGGTATACATATTTATCATAATTGTGTCAATTGGTACGTCGATGTATAGTAATCAAATGCGTGGTCGAAGAGGTCGCCCGGTAGTGGGGAAGGGGGGTGGTCCTTAACTTAACCACGGGGACCTGAGGCGTACTTAATTTATATCGGAAAATTTGGGATAAACTGTTATTTTCAATTTAGGAAAAATCATCACCGCTATGCAGCGACGTAGTTTATATTAATACGCCACGGGGACTGCTGTCTACTTATTTTCTTGCGCTGTCGGGCGTCTATCATAACGAAAGATGATAACCGAGACGATATTATTTATTATTTTACGCCACTTCGCAGAGACGTGTGATGTAATCCTCGCCGTCGGGAAACTGTTGTAGTGGTCTGTCGATTTTATAGATTTCTCGTAGTCATCGGATCCGTATACTTAGTATTATTATACACAGTACGCCTCAAGTAAACGATTGTCCACCAAAATGTAAACACGATAAATAATAATATGATGACGGTCAACTCTGCCAAGTGTTACGTTTTAACAGATATGCAGGTAGGTATAGAGTATAGGTATAGGGTATAGAGTATAGGTGATAAATATAGTATAGGTATAGAGTACCTAATATATTATATTATTATCGACTGAAGTCTGAAATATTATAATATTAATACGTCGCGTTTGTCCCGTCGCCTCTAATACTGGTATTATATTATTATATTATAATCTTCATATTCTACAACGTAATAATAATAACAGAATATGTACGTGATAACAGCAATAATTATATTATTATTTATTATCAAGTTATTTCTTTAATTTAATGGAAGCAAAATATCATTATATACTTTTGTAAATATTTTGTCGATTGTGTATCAATATCTAAAATTTTTTTCAAAAATATTTGAAAAATCACCGTGGCTCGTCAAACTGATCACTCCGTGTACATACAATGGGTCCAGATCGACATCCGGCAAGCATTTCGTCCGAGTCCACTCGTACAATTTATATATATATATATAATGCACTAAAGTGCAGTGCTGCAGTTGCAGGCAGTGTTCGTCCTGCTGCATCGCACATTGCACCACAACGATGAGACGAATTACCTACCTATTATGTCGAAGAGCCCAGAGCGGCGTATATACGCATAGCACAGTCGTATAACATACGTATAGGGTTTTAAGAATATACGTTACGAAGGCGGTGTGGGTTCAATTTAGAGTCAAACACATATACATATATAATATATATATATATATATATATCTGCGGAAGGTGGAGAAGAGGCTGCACCGCACTGCATAATATATTATTATACACACACGCAGACGGCCGAATGGATCGTTGGAGCCCATGTCACCCTCGTTGAAACTATATATATACGTACATAATATATATATATATACATTATACATACACGTACAGGAGTGTACAGGACCCACGTGCAATAATATACGAGCCGCCGCTCCGGTTTGTTGTCCGCCGTGGCATTAAACAGACAAACTACAACTGCACCGCACTGCACACGGCCACTTTCCGCGATCCCTCGTTATTTGCTCCACCCCGACTAATATTATAATATATCTAAACGCTATAGAACGTACACAGAGTGGTTCGCGAAACTCGTATATTATAATTACTGTTTTATAATTGTCCGCTTTTGACCGTTCGTCCGCCACGCATTGGAGGAGGGCGCCGAGCACGAAGTTCACGAGGTGAACGGAAGTGTGCAGGATTTGACCGATTCTAAAAATCGAGTGGTAAATTAAATTGTACACGTGTATCGTTGGCGTTCCACAGAATTTTAGTATAATTTAATATGACCTAATATTAACTAAACATTAATTTGTTAGTGTGCTATCCAGAATGAATTATATTTATTTAGCGACACGCGTAATATTGTTTGACGTCGTCGTTTGTTTTTATTAAAGTCGGTGGGTGGTGGCCACATTTAGTGTGCAGGCCACGAAAGTCAAAAATACAATTAACGTTTTTATTAATGTTCTTTATTACATAAATAATTAATTATAGTGCGATAAATGATAGTATATTTACAAAAAGCAATTATACAATATATTATAAGCCTAATGTTTTGTGTACTAAACGATGTATAATAATATAGGAATTCGAGATTAAAAAATAATCGTTGACGTCTTAATATAGATACAATAAATCTACTCTCGTGGCACCTTCTGAGGGTGAAAAAATATTTAGTTAAAATTAGTATAAGAAATGTTAAACGCGTGTTAAACTTAAGTACATTTTATAACAACTCTTGTTTAATATAATGGGGAAAATGTTATGAATATTACGACTTTTCAATTGCATAGATTTTTAACATTACTTACTAATTTGTTCATCACTGAATTTGTCTTAATCGTTTATCAGTTGTAAATTGTAATATATGGGACGAAGTGAGTGATGCAATATATTATTGTAACATATCGCTAATATTTAAGGGTGGTAATATGCCCACGGAGGGTGCAAATATTTTAAAACGCAACAAATAAAACGCATTGTTTGCGTCTAGTGTCTGTCATAGGCGCAATTTGGGAGGGTCTATGTGGGCTTAGCCCCCTAGTTTTATTTAAGCCCCCCCTAAGTTTTTAAATATGTTTATTCTTAAATCCACCTAATAAAAAAATTATACGGGTCTGTATTGATTTTATAAAATTAGCCATTGATTTTATAAAATTAGCCCCCCCCCCATATCAGTTGTCCAAACTGCGCCTATGGTGTCTATATGTAAGTAATCCACAACCAAGTCTATTGCACTAGTGTGGTTCTTAAATTTGGTACATATGTAATCCCATATACCCGAAGATGTGCACCTCGAAGCCAATTTTTTTAAATCTTATAATTTAAATAGAGCCTTACCCAAGGATTTGTTTGTGGGTTTGAATTGTTGGTTACGTGGGGGAAGGAGCCTCTTTTATTTTTAATAAATATTTATGCGTTCCTCTTCTAGTTATATCCTAATCAATATGTCGTTTAAAATTCATTCAGGTAGATTCAGGTACATTTTTTTTTACACTTTTTCACTTCCTCCTTCTAATTTGTTCTCAGTTCAAGCACCGTGTTGCCATTGGTAAATAAAACAGTCGTTATAATATCGTAAATAATTTGTATTTTATATTTGCGAACAGTCCTCCAAATAACCGTGTTAAAAATATGGCGTGTATAGTTCAAAATCAACGGATAGTTTAAGACGTTGCAAATCTATTGGCATTATACAATCTCAATTCGTCACGTTGTGCACAGGATCAGCTTGCAGCAGCAGTGTACTGCAAATACGCAATAATATAATGTTTGAACAGACGTTTCCCCGTAAAATTTACGTTACGCCCATAACGACCCTCCGCGTCCCGGACAGTCGTCATATCGCCGACGACCGAAACGGGAAGCGCCCTGTATGATGCACAATAATGACCACTGCAGTCGCAGCGTTCGCGGTGTATATACATCGGACGAGCGGTGTAAATACACGTTTACCCAAAACGGGGTCCGAGGACGACCGACGACGTCCGTTTTCTCCGAACGGCACGGGCGGTGGTCGTCGCCCGGCAATTTCCATTCGGGTCGCGTGTGCCGCTGCTGTGACGGTTGCGCGCCTTTTACGGGCCCGGTCGTGTCCGGCCGGCGCGTTAATTGGTTTACCGAGAAAACGATCTCCGCGCTCGCGTATTTTAAGCCGACTGCTCACACGTAACGACTCGTCGTCGGGGCGAGTGCCGGCCGGCATACTGAACAGCGGTTTGAATTTCGATCGTTCTATACCTTATATACCTATACGCATCTGGTTCCGACCAGCCTTACGGCATGCATGACGCTGTTTTTGACGAATCAATGGGACGGGCTCGCCAATCGGAGGTCCGATTCTCGCAGTATAATTAATATTATATGTATATATACACACACACACATATAATCGTTATTTGGCATTGACCTGGACAATATATTATAATCGCAGGGATAAGTATTTCACGGGAAAACGCTGATCCCCTTAACGATGTCTCGGAGAGCGACAATATTTCCAAAGAATTTCATTGTTCAGGAATGGTACGAATAGTATTTTCTTGCAACGATATTTAAATGCGAATCATAAAATCCTTGATTGGGGGGGGGGAGGGGGTTATAAATCGGGAAAATATTTAAAGGAATATTTGGGATTGTTCCCTGCGTACGGATAATTATTTCCACAAAATTATATAATTTGGTGTTATATACTATTGTACTGTATAAGACGTATACCGCATTCCTAAATTATATCATTCTTTAGAAAAATTTTTCTTCTTTGAGATATATTATGTAATTTCAGACAAATATTTTCCCAAAAATACTGTTCCCTGCAGTAATAATTATGCTCCTGGTTTATGTGTAACCCCATTTTAACGATGAAAAACGCAAGTCCCGCCGACGAGACATTTTTCCCCCTTCGAGATGTTATATATTATAACTAAATATTTTCCACCTTCGTGTATGTTGTTTGTAATATGAATAATTATTTCCAAATCGGACAACTTGTCGTGCCAAATATTCCGAAAGGACAAAATATGTGAAATGTTGGTTTGTGTGTGAATATTGTAATAACGTGTCAAGTCTTTCGTGTGGCGGAACTGATGATGTATATGTATTCTATCGATTTTTGGGGTTTCCAGAGATTGATTTATACTTGCGGCGTATAATAATCCAGTGAAAACGCGATTCCCCTTGCCCGACTGGCATAATACAATATGCATGGCTGGTATTTCGTGTACATATTATAAATTAATTTTGCATTCTGTCGAATATTATGCTGTAATAATAATAATAGGTACTTATATAATATACTAATTGATTTGTCATGATACGTTAAAAAAAACTACTGAAAATATAATATTATACTATAATCGATCGGTGCGTAAACGTTTGATATTTGACGACCGAATTAACCTCGTATAAAAAATAATATAATTATTGTTATAAGCTAAAGCTATACGTATATTTTATATTCACATATATTATATATGTCTATTCGTCGGAACAATGGCTCATTGTTGAAAATATGTACGACGAACGGTGGTGTGCAGTTGTGAATAATTAATGTGTCGACGATTAAAATTAAAAACTGTTTAAAAATAGCTTATTGTCCGCCGGCGAATAAAGGTGAACGACTACAATAATAATATTGTTAATATTGGACTTCCTTTCCGATAAAATAATACAATATACTATATACTATACTATACTAATATGTACTTTTTATAATAATAATATAATGACGATAATAATAATAATAAATAATAATTAATGGACACGAAGATGGTATTTATTTATTTTTTCTATGAACCCAGAGCTACAATATTATGATATACCTCCCTACCTATCGGTATAATATTATATTATATCGTTTAGTCTATCTGCATATTAATTTATACATTTTATAATGTACACGCTCGAAGCTCACTGCATGGCTTTATGCACCTATACGCAGTTAAAACTGCACGTCCTGTAAAAGGTTATAATATCGTGTGGGGTTGTTCGAGAGGGATGTTTATAAGAGATTACCTATCATATATACTTTCAAAGGCGTATTACGGCTATACAGTGTTACATAATATATAATATAACCTATATCATAACGCTGTGCGTATTTCGAATAATTTGTCTCCGTTGGGTTTACATCGATTACGTTATATATATAATATATTATATAAAGTCAGTCGCTTTTGAGGGTGGCGGCGGTGACGGCGTGTGTGTGTGTGTGCGTGTGTGTAGAACGGTATAACTACCACGGTATGTACCTATAATAATATAATACGAATAAACGTAATTTATGCGTTCGTACATATATATGTATATATATATAGGGCGGTTGAATTCTGCAAAGTCGACGCCGATTGAGCGAGATCTCTCCTGCACTGTGTATAATATACCTACCCCTAACGCGTATATGAAATCCGACTCGCACCCGAGGGTTATTACTTACAACGCTACCCCCACACGCGCGGATTATATCGACAAACGATTGTGCGTAAAAACACCGACTACATTAATTATTACAAAGAGGCATTGCGCCACGGCAGTTGGTATATAGATAAAATAATAATATAAGCGAGTGTTTGAATATTTGAGTATTCCCGTTTCTCGTTAAGTCGTGTTTTCAAAGACGGTTTACCGCAAGACGAATATTTTCGATCGGACGAACAAAACGAATATCATCCAACGCGTACTATAGGTATGCTGCATAGTGCAGACATACAGACCGCCGAACAAACGTGCACATGTTAACATGATAAGGCCGAAGAAATGCCATAAAGTATATACATACTAGATGGGGCAAGGGGTTTCTAAAATCCCTAGACTCAAAATTAGGGCACCCAAAAATCCTATACCTAGCCATAACTTTGCATTATTTACATTGATACTAGTTATTGAGTTTTTTTACTGATGAAATTTATTAGTTTAACATAATATTATGTTTTAAAATATTGTAGATTCGCCTGGTAATAAATATGTAATATTAATATTACTACAATTAATATTGTCATTTATGAATGACATACTAGACTTGGGCCTTGGGGAATACCACATTCAAAAAAAGGATTTTCCTCGCGTGCATAAATTACTTCAAATTGCTATCATAATAATTCCAGTAAGTTTTGGAACACGCGATCGCAGTTTTTCAAGCATGTGACGAATCAAAAAATCGGGCAAGTATGTACAAGAATGGTTCAATGATACTCTGTATGATAGAATGCCAATGCGGTAAAAAAACAAAGACAAATAGTTCGGAAATAATATATTATACCGAAACCTAAATTATTCGTCTGTTTTTAATTTTTGTTGTCTTGTTGATATTTAATTATAATATATTGTATTATTTTATATTATTTATATAATATTATAATAGTACGTGTCATAACAGCGTACTTTGAAATATTTAAGCTAGCAGCTTATTTATTTATTGAATACAGTTTCCAGCTATACAAAAATTATATTACACAAAAAAAGACATTTATTGAATCATTTAAAGAAATAACTTTATAAATCAAATTAATATAATTTGTATAATAAAAATCGATAATCTACAGTTTATCCTATTATTTATATTATCATTTACTTTATTTACAATTAAGTTACCATAGTACCGATAACAATATAGTTGCTTAAAACTATTGTGATCGTAAAATCCTGGAGGATACATTTTACATTTAACACAGAAATTACTTATAAATACTAAACACATAATATTATGCTCTCGATTGTGCAAAAGTTGTTTAGGAATAAGCCTTCGACGACTGAGGTCATTGGCTCTGTAAGGTTGGTAGGGTTGGGACGGTTGGTACGGTCGGTTAGGAACACGTGTATGCGTGTGGCAAGGTTTTTGCGCACTATGCGAACCCGGGTGATCACCCATCCGAGAACTATTGGCAACGGTAGTTGCTTACTCTCAATCCCGTCGTGTGATTGATTTCATACACTGCGCCTCTCCGAACCACTTGGGAATAATTAATTTTTTTTTAAATCTAGTGATATGAGTAGGTGTATCGTATTGTGTGGTAAAAATATGCAGAGTGCAGAGAAGGGAAGCTAGATAAACAGCGTTGTACTGATATTATTATTATTATTATTATCGTACCTATAGTATTCAAGTTTTGGTCACCAGCCTGTATAATATTATATATACATATCATTAAAATTCTGCTGGCCACGTATTACTGTCGGTCGCTACAACAAGCGAAGGGGACGAAGAACGAAGCGGCATTGGATATAACGCGATATGAATTATTTATGGCCGGCACGACTCGCGGATTCGGCAAGTGAGCGACGGGGCGGCAGGACAACGCTCGCTGTTTGTAAGCAATTATGCAGTACGCGCGCGCGGGACGTAATCTCGTCGTCCCTTATAATATATATATAAACCGCCGGCGGCTCGTTCTTCTCACACTCCGATTTCGTAGTCGTCGACCCTTTTAAACGTTTTCTCTCGTTGCGCAGTTTGCACTTCCAATTAAGCCCCCGAGCAGGAGACCCGAGGGGGTGGTACAGCGACGGGGCAGCGGCAGTCCTCTCCACGGTGCGTGCTATTTGTGCGACAACTGTCCCTTATATTATATTCGTACAATAATAATAATAAATATATACCCTCGTCGCCGCCAACTATACCTCCACACCTATATTATATCGATGTGCCTTTTCGTCCTCGTCGTCCCGAGTGTAATGCATACATAACATTGTACGCGACTTGCTTTCGAAAAAATAAAAATGTTTTTGAATATATAATATTTCGAGTTTACATATTTTATATTATCGTACCTCCATAGGGTAACGCGCGCGTGTTATTCGACGAAAACGTAAATTGGTTTTTATTGTTGTATCGTACTATATTCGTTTTTTTATTGTGTTGTGATTTATTTTCTAAGAAATTAAATTACTATTTATATGTAATTATATGTATAACAATTTACAATAATTATTACATCGTAATGCTTTGGATCACTGCTTGAAGGTACTCTAGTTCGCTCCTCCATTATTATACTCCTACAACAAAACTTTCAGTTAATTAAAAACTAACAGAAAGTCCGTTTTATATACCTAAGGTTTTTTAGTCTTTTAGTATAATATTATATATTTATATTATGTCCTAATAGCTAATAGAACTGTTATAATTGCTTCCTAAATACATAATCATTAAACATTTTTATTAGAAATAAAGTCATTTTCTAGATCATTATAGCCTATACAAATAAATACCTTATA